AGTCAAATCCACATTTGCTAGCTTTACATTTAGATGACGTGATTATGTCAATTGATTATTTTTAAAATGCAATAATGTTCAGTATTTAATATCTTGTCTACTTAAAATATGTTTATGTTTATTATTTTAGTTGCATTTAAATATTTTGTATTTGTAAAGGTAAAACTTGAATATTTTAGAGTAATCAAAATATCAAAATAAAATATTTGCTTATTTTTTATATTGTTCGTTTTGTTTCAATGAAGTGCTCACTTCGCTTATCGCTTATCGCTTCTCGCCTAGGCCCTCAGGAGACCGGTTCGTTTCAATTCGCTTTANCGCTCACTTCGCTTATCGCTTCTCGCCTAGGCCCTCAGGAGACCGGTTCGTTTCAATTCGCTTTACACTTTAAATAACACTGCTGAAGATTATTGTTAGAATAAATGTGAAAAACCAGCCTATGCTAATCAAGGTTTCTGATGATCCGACTCCTATATCTCAACCATCGATTGGTGCACCTCCTACATCTACATCTGGCACTCATGACTATCTTACCTCTCAGCTCATCTAGAAATTGTTTTCACTCTCTTCCCATTCGCCTACTTCAGCTGTCAACTTAGCTATTACCAGTAATTTTACACATGTAGCACCATAATCTACTTCACCATCTTGGATTATTGATGTGGAAACTAGTACCCATATGTTCAATATTTCCTCAGTGGTTTCTACTTTTTGTGCTTCTAACTCTCATACTGTTTTAGTTGATGGTTACTTTAGGCCAATACATGGGATTGGTCATCTCCATCCTACCGAATCTACGTCATTAACATCTGACTTATTTGTCCCTTAGTTTCCCTTTAATCTGTTATTTATGGGTAAGTTAACCAAGCCTTTATAGTGTTCAGAGACTTTTCCATCTTGTATTTTTCAAGACCTCCAGACGAAGAAAGTGATTGGTTTAGGACATGAGCAGAATAAACTCTATTATTTACATTCCAAAGGAGCAGTTCCTGCCTTGAGTGCTACTGTGTCTTTCTTCCAATGGAATTTTTGATTAGGTCATCCTTCACTGCAAAAATTTCGTCAAGTCATTCCTAGTTTGAGTCCTTCTATTATGTTAGAAACTTAGAATGTGAGGCTTGTCAATTAGGCCAGTATCACTGTAGTTCGTTTCCTACTACTAGTACGAGTCATCAATCTAGTTTTTTTACTATTATTCACTTTGACATTTGGGGTCCTTTAAGAATAAAAGGTAATTTTAAATTTTATTATTTTGTGATCTTTGCTGATGATCATTCAAGTATGACTTGGTTGTTTCTTATGAAGGATCGTTCTGAATTGCCTAATATTCTTCTTACCTTCTATAATGAAATACTTGTACAGTTTGATAAACAAATTATCTTAATTCATTTTGATAATGTCCCTTGAGTATGTACAATCATTTACACATACATTTTGTGTTGATCATGATATCATTTATCAGACTACATGTCCACATACATCCCAGCAAAATGATATTACAGAATACAAACATCATCATTTATTAGTTGTTGCTTATTAATCGAATGTCTTCCCCCATCTTAGGTAACAAATCTCCTCCTAATACATCACTCTTTAGTCTAATTCCTCGTGTCTTTGGTTGTATTGCATTTGTTTATCTTTTTAGTCCACGTCCGGATAAATTTTCACCTCGTTTGATTAAGTGTGTCTTTCTAGGATACTCTCGTACCAAGAAAGATTATCGTTGTTATGACTATCTTTAGTCGGTATTATGTCAATGTCAATGTCATCTTTTTGAGTCGTCTTCTTTTTTTTCTAATTTAGGAACTATTTTTCCCTGAATTTGATCTTTACTAGTCGGGGGAGCTGATATTGCCTCTTATACCAGATAGTGTATCCCCCACCCTACCCTTCAGGTTGCTGACCCTCCATTGCTGGTTTAGTATTATTCCATGAATAGAGAGGTTGTTTCATATGCTCTAGTTCCCCGACCAACACCTGATTATACTGAGGTCCTCCCTCCTGAGTTATTTAATTTGCCTATTCCATTACGGAAATATACTCGTTCTTATTCACAGTATCTCATTTCTAATTTTGTCCCCTTGCATCGCCTTTCCTCTTCATTTCGTTGTTTTGCATCCGTTTTCCTCTTCATTTTGTTGTTCCTAACTCTTTGAAACAAGCCTTAACAGATCTTGTATGAAAACTGACTATAAACGAGGAAATTAAGACACTTCATCAAAATCATACTTGGAACCTCACTTCTCTTCCATCTGGTACGTAGCCTAATAGTTGTTGTTGGATATACACTATGAAATATCATCCTGATGGTTCTATTGAGCAGTTAAAGGCAGGATTGGTTGCTAAAGGTTACACCCAAACATATGGTGTGAATTAATGAGACTTTCACTCCTATTGTTCATCTCAACTCTGTTAGAGTTCTTATTTCTGTTGCAATCAGTTCTGAAAGGCCCTTGTGTCAACTGGATATAAAGAATGCATTTTTACACGGAAATCTACAAGAAGAGGTATATATGATTCAACCTCTAGATTATGTTGTTTAAGGAATAATTAGTGTGCCGTTTGAAAAGGGCATTGTATGGCTTGAAATAATCACCACATGCTTGGTTTGATAAATTCAATACTATGGTACTTCATAATGATTTTTCAGTATTCTACCTCAGATTATTCAATTTTCATTTGTTGGCCTTCTTCAGACATCGTTGTTGCTATTGTTTATGTCAATGACACCATTAGAAGTGGGAATGACTCGGATAGTATTTGTTCACTTCAAGAATAATTTAGGGAAGCAATTTCATACCAAAGATTTAGATCTTCTTTGGTATTTCCAAAGAATTGAGGTTGCCCGATCAAAGGAGGGAATCAATTTGCCAACAGAAGTATGTACTAGACTTGCTATCTAAAACTAATACTAACAGTATGCGTTCCATTGATATGCCTGTGGACCCTATAGTTAAGCTAGACTTTAAGTGTGGTGAAGTCATTAATGATATAGTGATACCGGTGATTGGCAGGTAAACTGATTTATCTTATAATTACTCGCCCTAATATTATATATGTTGTTGGTATGGTTAGTTAATTCATGCATGCCCCTCGTAAGCTTCATTGGGAGGTTGTTTATTGTATACTTTGATATCCAAAAGAGACTTTGAGGAAGGGATTATTATATCGTTCATCATCATCCATAACTGTTAGTTTTACTGACGTTGCTTGGACAGGTAGTTATGGTGATAAACGATCTATTTCTGACTATTGCACTTTTATTGGTGACAATCTTGTTACTTGACACAGTACGAAGCAGAACTTTGTTACGCGTTCTAGTGCAGAGGCCGAGTGTCGTGTTATGACACATACTACTTATGAAATGTTATGGGTTCGTTCTTTACTTTGTGATGTGAGACTTGAGGTGTCTTTCCCCATAAAGATGCGCTGTGACAATCAAGCAACTATTTTCATTGCAAGTAAACCAGTATTTTTGTGAGCATACCAAACACATTAAGATGGATTGTTATTTTATTCAAAATCTCTTAATGTGAAAAGAGATCATCATTCCATATATCAAGTCTACTGATCAGCCGGGTGACATTCTTACCAAGTCATTGACATTTTTTATGTTTCAAGCTGGATATTTTTTATCTTTATGCTCTAAGTTAAGGAGAAGTGTTAAGAGTTCTTATTTTCTATATTAGACATAAGTTAATTAGTATAGGATAGTATTGTAATTACTCTACCATTACTCAGTTATAAATAAGAGAGTGGAGGGTAGCCGAACCGACACATCAATTTATTCTCTCTTTCTCTATCTCTCTTTATTTTCTCTTTCTCTCCTAACCCTAACCCTAACCCTAATATTGCTTTTAGTGTTTCAACTATAGTTATTACATGGATGTCACTAATACATTCTAACACTCCATGCCCAATAAAACACCAGCAATAATAAAACTAAAAAATTCAGAGACCGAAATCGCCAAACATACAAAATCTGAATGGCAAACATCCAATCACTTCACAAATAATAATCCCAAACAAAACTGAATCCATAAAAAATAAAATTTGAACAATACCTTAGAACGACAAAATCAAGCCCAATCTCACTTAACTAGATCTTCAAATCCACCAAAAAAGATCCACACTTCTGACTCCTCATTATCACACTCTTCGCATTAGAACAAGAAGACATTTCCCAACACTAAGTACACATATACATTTGCGTGGACAGAATTTTTCGATGACCCAAAAAGCTTACAAAAATCAGCAGGCCATTGAATTAAAGAGGCTATGCAAATGGCTTTGAAGGATCTGAGAGATCCTAGGGAGAGGAAGAAGTAGTGAGAGATGAACCGAAACCCTAGTGTTTGGAGATAGAGTAATTGATATAGGTCATAATTCAGGTCACACTCACTCTGTTGTTAGAGAGGGAGGGGAAAAGAGAGAGGAAGTGTGGCATGAGAGGGAGGGCAATCTATCCTAACCGTATGCAGTCCCCTCTTACATATGAAGTGTTAGGTTGAATCTAAATGGTAAAGTTGAAACTGTTTTTGTAAATTTGGAAAAGTATGAATCTCTGTGTATCGAATCTATTCCTAGTTGTTCGGACTCTTGTTGTAGTGTGAGCCTTGAAAGTACCCGAAGTTAGGCAATCACCACGAATTCCTTTAAATGGACCCATCTCTCTTAGTGACTCTTCTTAGTTCCTAGTATCGATCCAACCAATTGGGAGGGAATCAATAGATTCCTTTTTGGGAGCAAATCAATCGGTACAGGTTCGGGTTGGGTCCAAAAAACTCAAGACTCTAACGCAAGTACTGCCCGGAATAAATAGGGTTAGGATGTTTCACTTGCCAAATTCTAGAAATGCTTGCCCAAATATTGAACTTTCTGGCAGGGCACGAGTCTGGTGGGTTGACCTGCCCAAGTTACACCCCTACCACTATCGCATTCTATTTTTTGTGTTTACAATTCTTGTCTCAGTCACAATCACTGAATCACATCAACTATACCTACTTCACAACCTGACCCCCAAACCAGGTAAGGCCCAACATTATAAGAAAGTAGACCAAAGATAAATTAAGTACATATTGGCAAACATCAACAAAGACAAGCATAGTTTAAAAGGGCAAAATGGACAAGAAAAATACACCTTGGGAACAGGAGCAATTGTGCGTCGATGTCTAATAGAAAATCCAAATTTAGCAAGCTTTAATGTCACTGGTTGGCCATCATCTGGATGGTTTCCCTAACATAAGTCCAACTGTATGAGTCTGATGATAGTAAAATCTAGAGAATAGGACTGAAGCTAGACAGAAGTATACCAATGTCACAGGGTAGCGGAGCAATTCAAGAGCATCTTCAAGCGTGATAGAGTCCAAATCCTTTATCTGAAATGCAAAAGTGATATTTAGCTACATATTTATCCATATTACGTTCCAAAACAAAGAAGGGCCCAATTAAAGTCTAATAATGAAAGTGGCCCATTATTTGAGCTTAAACATCAATGAAACTGAGACCTCATTTATACTATTGCGCCCCATTTGAGAAGAGGGAGGGCGAGGAAATTGAATAAAAGAAACAATTGTGACTCACTTAACCAAAAAAAAACTCCTGAGACACAAGCATGAAACTTCAAATTATGTCAACATGCCAATTGCTGAATTGAAAAGGTAAATGGCTGGCTGAGAAGTGTCAACCCAATTGGCCACAACCAAAGGTCACTTTGCAGTTTTGACAAACTTCAGTGGATGTTGAAGCAGGTCGAGGACATGATTAAAACTGATAGAAAAAGCACTGGAAGACCGGATTCCGGAAACCAAGAGATGCTTGAAATGACCAATTTAAATATCCTGGAATTAAATAAAACTATTGCGAGGCACATTGGCATGAAATACAGCTGGCTAACAGAACTTGCAAGGATTATCGTAGTTTCATTACAACACAGTTTTATTCTTGAACAGGTGGAAGGTTCCCAAAAGTCAAGGAGACTAAAAGATCAAGGACAAAAAAGTGAGAAAGAAGAACCAAAAAAACCTATAATGTAACATACGATATTGCTTTAACAAGGGTAGATAGATGGAATAAATGGATATCAAGTATCAACTACCATGACAGCAGAATAGGCCAGAAGGATGATGTGACCAAATGTATTAGAAATGCAAACCCTAGGAGCTTCCAAACTACACCGTTTGTATTCTGCTTGTAAACTTCCAGCAACCAATAAGAGAAAAAAAAAACAAAAAATCTACACCATCACAAATAATTTATGAACTGCCATAAATGAAGCTTTACATGCTAGTAGGCTAATTTAGGGGGCATAATCTTAAAATGAGCATGGACACGGCCGCACACTCTCAAAGGAACAAAGCATGCCAATGGTCACCCATACATCCTCTGTTGATTATCTTCATTTGGAAATAATAAAATAAAAAGAAAAGAAAATAACATCCGTCAAGAATCCAGGGGTTTAACATACACAGCCAATAGTGCAAGATGTGATCTCCCATACACAGATACACTAATAACTTAAAAATGCAGACATGATCTTAAAGATTAGCATAAATCCAATAAACAACAACGGACTCTGAGCTATAACTTCGCCAATGGAGTGTTTACATACTCGAGAAACAGAGGCTCGTTTAGGCAAGTATCCCTTCCTGTCTTCACCAAGCTGAACATAGGATCCATATGGACCATTCTTCAAGAGAATCTGGAAGATAAAACAGAGATGTCAATTCATCCATTAAAGGAAAAAACAACAATGCACTACTTGCATTAGGAATTTGCTATCCGGCAATCAAATAAAAAACCATGATACAGTACAAACCTTCTCATTGGAACCATGACTGACACCTAGCACCTTAGGCTCCTCTACATTCTTGTTATCTTGAGAAGTAACCTCTTCATCATCTTCACCATATAATGTCTTAGCAATGTACCTGTAGAACAACCCAAAAATGTCACAGCTATTTATGCCAACCAACAAAATCACAGGGGACGTATTTATTGAAGATTGTTACAAAAGCACAAAAAGATTGATATTTTGTCATAAACTAAATAAAATATGAAGAACTTACTGCTGTCTAATTAATTACTCATGACAGAAGAAAATAAGAGACAGGGCAAAAAACAAAAGTCGAATCATTACTTTCTTCATACTCAGCATTACTTCCTCCAGTTGCCAACCACACTCTTGTGAAATCAAAGTGTTGACACATTATATAAATTTGCGGGCAAGCATGAATAAAGATTAAGGTATCAACAATTGAAAAAGTCATTTGTTGAATTTAGGCTAAGATGATTGGCCATGAAAACTGCGTAGTCCATAAATAGAAAAGGCAAACAAATGAAGAAAGGTTGACATATGAATACACCACTTGGGAAAAAGAACGACTTGAGGTGCCTATATAGGAATGTTGGGATTGAAAAATGAGTGACGCGGAAAGAGGTCAAACAACATAATTACCGGACGACATGTGGCCATTATCAAGGACATGCCTGACTAAAAGCTACTGAGATAATAAGGCTACCAAATATATTAGATTAAGCGTCGACCAGTTAGAAGTTATCATGAGTAGGCAATATTCAGGTTATTCCTTGCTGCATTTCTAGTTGATGAACTAACAGGCATGTACAAAACAACTAATGTGCTCCTAGCCGATGAATATTACAGTCTCTGACATAAATAAAATGGACCAACCGTATCCAGTTCTCTACAACACAAGAACACTCATAAATCCTAAAAACACGAAAAAGTTCTTAGTACACCATTCATTGACATGAGCGCCCTAGAGAAGTTGAAAATAGATCAAAACAGGGACCAATTAAATCCAATTCACTGCACATTCATTCAAGATTACCTTCTCAAGCAAAAATATTATAGCAAAAAGCCTATAGCCAACTTTGCCAATTCCCACTCTTAATATTCTTGCCAAATAAACTGTAGCATCAAGTAATAAGGTAAACTCCAAATCAAGTAAACAGTTTAGCCCATGCACACGGGTGCACATGCGCTTCCATCACATGGGATATAGATAAAGCACGAGGATAATATGTAGCATCACTCACGCACACACACACACAAGGCATGGACACACATATGTACCTTTCACAAGCATTTACTAAAGCCAAGATACATGTCTAAAAAGAGGACAGGGAGAGCGGGAGAGAGAGAGAGAAGGAGGAAGAGGAGCTTAATTTATGGTAGCTCACACTTGCACTTTTTTTTTGGGGGGGGGGCACTTACTTGCACTTAGGGTGTTGATCACAACCAATAAAGTAGCCAGCACCAAATCGACTGACTTTGAATATCAAAGTGCCCTCCAGACAACTTGGGCATGTCCTACTTTTATCGAGAAGAGAGGCAAACAAAAAATCGCCAAATGTTTTCTCCAACATCTTCTCCACCTGATGAATATGGACATTACTAGCATGGTCACAATACTTGCTGAATCTTGTCCAATAATCTCTGAGAAGACCTTTCCATTCAGTCAATCCAGCAGAAACATTATCAAGCTCAGTCTCCATATCTGCAGTGAAACTATAATCTGTTACCTCGGAAAAATGGTGAGAGAGAAATGCTGACACCATACGACCACGAAATTCTGGATATAACACCCGGCCTTTTACTGTCACATAATTTCTATCCTGTAGAACTTTGATTGTGGTTGCATAAGTAGAAGGTCTACCAATCCCAAGCTCTTCTAGTTTTTTAACCAATGATGCCTCTGAGTAGCGTGGTGGAGGATGAGTATGGTGTTGCTTGAGTTCAACTTTACCTAAATACAGTGGCTCCCCAGACTTTAAATCACTGAGAATGTTGAAAACTTCATCACCATCATTCCCTTCATTTTCATAATTACAAATTGATTTCATTTCCACATCCTCATACACAGCCTGGTATCCAGGAAACTCCAGACTTGAGCATGCAGATCTAAAAACAATGGAATGAGTAGCATCACCAATATCCAATTGTATCTGATCAATTGTAGCAGGTTCCATTTGACATGCCACTGTACGAGACCAAATAAGGGTGTATAACTTCAAGGAATCTTCATCAAGTACCCCAAGAAGCATTGAAGGTAGTCTCCTGATATCAGTGGGTCTGATAGCCTCATGAGCTTCTTGAGCATTCTTCACCTTCTTAAAATATTTGCGAGGATTCTCTGATGCAAAGCTCTGCCCATACCTTTCTATGACCAAGGAGTGAATGTCCTTTGAAGCTTCATTAGAAATGTGTAACCCATCTGTTCTCATATATGTTATCAATCCAGCAGCCTGGTCACCTGATATTTGAACCCCCTCATACAGTTTCTGTGCAAGTTTCATTGTATATGTTGCCGTAAAATGTAATTTGTTTGCAGCATCTTGTTGAAGTGTCGATGTTATATATGGAGCTGGAGGGTTCTTCCGGATTTTGCTTCTTTTAGGGCTGCCCACTTCGAACTTGGATGAACTAATCTTCCTTTCAATATCAAGTGCCTTGGCATGGGAGCTAATAGAAAACTGGTTTAACTTTCTGGAGTCAAAATGGGTCAAGTACGATGAGACTAAAGGACCCAATTCCTTCCGGCTTAACTCAACTTCAACAGTCCAATACTCCAGTGGTTTAAATTCATCAATCTCCATTTCCCTATCACATATAAGAGAAAGAGCGGCAGATTGGACCCGACCGGCTGATTGGCAACCTGGCAATTTTCTCCATAATAATGGAGAAATATTGAATCCAATCAAATAATCAAGAGCACGCCGTGCAAGATAAGCATGTACCAAATTCACATCAATATATCTTGGAGCCAGCAGGGCGCTTTTAATGGATGATTCAGTTATTTCATTAAAGGTCACCCTTGCTACACTGATATCTTCGCACAAAGCATCCTGCTGCTGCAACATCTCAATGATGTGCCAAGCAATAGCTTCTCCTTCACGGTCAGGATCTGATGCAAGAACAAGATTTTCTGCTCTGAGGAAAAAGGCAGAACAATATGAGAAAAGGAAAATACCTAATTCCTAACAGGTTTAGATCCAAAGTAATTCTATTTATAAGGAAATCCTAGGAAACAGATGGTATAATAGCCAGAGTAGATAGAACTATGGAAGAACCAGTCAAAGCACCTCAGCAAAACCTCAGTAAATTGGTGATATGTCTCACATTAGTTTTCCCCAGAATTATAAGAACCAACACACATTAAAACTAATAGATTGATTGCAGGTAGTACAGAAATAAAAAAAAAAAAAGCCATACCCACTTAGTGCAACCTTGATACTCTTTAGATGAGTCCAGGCAGCAGATGGAACCTCCCATACCATACTAAAGTCGTCATCAGGCCTCACAGAGCCTGATCTTGCAGCCAAATCCCTTATGTGACCATAACTAGGTAGGACTTCAAACATGTCACCAAGGTATCCTTGGATAACTTTTGCCTTAGTGACAGATTCCACCACTAAAACTGATTTACCAGTGGGAGGATATAATTGACAGATCTTCCTTTGTCCCTGAAGCTTAGTTTTGCCACTCATATGGGACTTTTTTTTCTGTGCAAATGCTTTTCCAGATTCTGGTGCCTCAACAGCTTTCATAACAGCATTAGGTTCTTTTAAGGATTTCCCCTTTCTAAGAGGTTTCTTTGTAGTCTTTTGGGATTGTTTGTGCGTTGAAACAAAACTATCAAGCACTTCCATAGGGGCGTTCCCCATAGAACTATTCTGCAAAACAGCAAAGCGTCAGTTAACAAATTGCAGTGGGATAAACACCAAACCAAACAACTCTACACACAAAGATTGCTAACCGCTGAAGCCAGAGGAGATTGGTTATTATTGGTAACATTGGGCTTCCTTTCTTGGGAAAGGTTTTTAGAAACTTTTTGCTGATTTGCTGCACGAGAAGAAGCAATAGCATCAGAAGATTGACTATTACTTTTCTTGCTTCTGGACTTCTGCTTCCGTTCTCCTTTAGCATTAGGTGCTTCATCGGTATCACCAACATGTGAGCCTGCAACCCCTAGATTCACATCCTTCTTGCCATCCCAAACAAGATGGTCTCTTGAAGTGACCAAAACATTATCCTTAAGAGCTGATAGATTCGAGGTAGAACCGCTTTTTCCAAGCGCCTGTGGTCCACCTTCGAAATTTTGCCTGTGAGCAGCCATGGACTTAGCCTGCTTCCAATGCTTATTGAACACTTTGGTTGAGGAATTATTCCCACCACTCCTTCCAGCCACATGATCATTTTTATTTGTCACTGCTATTGGGATCTGACAAAAAGACCTCTTCGCAAAAGCATCATAACAAGGTGAACCCAACCTGATACCACTCTCTGATGATCCATGGCTAAAAGCATTCATGGGAAATGTAGTACTAGGAAACCCAACTCTTAATTGTGGCTGAATGGCAAAGGCAGAACCAGACCTAGACCCACTCCTATCAACATGGCTTATGAAGAGATGAAACTTTTGTAGGTCAGACTCAACTCCCAGAACTTTTTGTCGAATGCTAGTGAAAATGCAAGATACCCCGACTTCCTTACACTTGAGCTGACAAAATTTGACTATTTTATCACTAGTTCCAATTGTTGAAGGTCGTATGCAAGTGCCTGATGGGCAATTCTGCAGCGCCCTGTTATGCAACTGTAACACAAATTTCATGCGATAATGAAATCATTGACACAATCACTTGAAAATCTGAACGGAATGGTCTAAACCACCAAAATAACAAGCTGAAGAAGATACACACATCATCTTCTGTTCAATCAATTTTGTGCCATTATCAAAGTTCCCTTCCCAAGTCAACTGCTTACTCGGTAAAGGCAACATTTCTAGGTAACAAGTTAACATTGAACAAATAGTCACAACACGAAAATTCTAAATATCTAAGTCACAAACAACACTTCTAGATAAAGCATACTACATGTGCATATTGACATATAGAAATAAGTACACGCGCACTTATAAGAACATTAAGAGTAAAAATTGAGAAGCTTTACCATGGTTGAGCGACAACTAGTTGTAGTAGCGGTGGCAAACAGCTGTTGAAGAAACGTCATTAAAGATTTCGGTGATAAAATGATGCATAAGAATCAAACCCAACGCTGGAATGCAGCAACTGTAAATACAAATAAGACAACATTAGTGCGTAAAATGAACTCACAGTATCATTCGTTGCTATGTAACATACAGAGACAGAGAGAGGGGGGGGGGGGGTTTTGAGGAGGAAAAGATGAAGAGGGTTTTGGGTTAGGGCAAATGGAACTTTGGTCCCCAACAAATTTGGAATTTTCAATTTACGCATAAAAATTGAGAATTCTACATTGCACCTTCAATAGCTAACCGACATCCGCCTGTCTAATGCATGCTTGTCGCAGGGATAAATGGGCTAATCGCAGTTTACACCCTGAAAGATGCTTAAATTTTTAATTTACACTTTGAAAGATAAGATATTTCAATTTGTACCCTGAATTTCACGAAAATGATGCAATGTGCACCGGTCCCAAACGTCCGTTCAATTTACTGTTTGAAAATCCAGCACACGACTTGCATGTGATTCTTGCAAGGATTGAATTGTAAAAACACACTCTTTTTCCTCACGTGAGTAGTACATGGTATCGGTTCATCTAAACCCCCTTTTTCTCATTCTCAAAAAAGGAGAGAAACAAAGGATCAAAAAATTAGGGATAGAACAATGTTGAAGCTTCATCTTTGATATTGTCTGTGGAACACAATCGAAGTTGTTAACCTTGGAGATCAACCAAATGTATTGGGTTGTATGGGAGTGCAACTGTGATATACCCCTTAGACAGGATTCACCAATTTATGGTGTGAATTTGTTTGTTTCCATTTGGAATGGTTCTAGTTTTTATGTGTGCTTGTGTTTTTTCTTCTTTTTTTTTTTGTGATTGTTTTCAAAGTCATAATATATTCTGTGTTTGTGTGGGCTTGAGTTATTTGGTTTTATCTGATTTGTTTTGTCAGCAACAAGCTATGTGATTTGTGTGGGTTGATTTTTATATTCAAGTGTTGAATACTAAAATGCTTTTTTGTTTAAGTTGGTATTTTTTTATCCAGAAGTTGGCACAAGTTATTTTACAATAAAAATGCATCATAGTGGTAAATTTGAGGGTTATGGTGACAAAGTGTACACATGTGGGAGATTGAACCACTTTGATATGTGTCATGTTGACCAAATATATTTGATAGAGTTGAACAACACGCTGAAAGATGTTGAAGTAGGTTATTCTAAGATTACAAAATACTATCACAGAGCTAGTAAAGGGTTGAGGGCATTGAAAAATGATCAGCATGTCATGAGACTTGAGAAGTGGACAAATAGTAACAGAGTGGTTGATCTATATATGGAACACAATAAGACTTGTTTGTTGAACTATAGTCAAGTTGAGCCAACTTGTGGTATTGGGATAGCATCTAAGAGTTCTTCTGATAAGGATGAATTTGACAGTGAAAAATGCTCACAGGGTGAATCTTCTGGGTCTAAATATTTTTATGATAGTGAATATGATGTGGAGATATTCCCAGTTGTATGAGAATGTAATTGATGATGATTCTAATTTTGTAGGGAAGGGGAAAAAGGTTGAAAGTAACAAACAAAAAGGGGATCAGAATGTTAAGGCAACAGGAATGGACAATGACACAGTGATGGCTAGCATTCGGACGCCTATCTCTGTTTGCCTCCTTTCTTTGCAACCTTCTATCTAACAATCTTGTGGTGGTGATAGGCATTCGAAGAGCGGTGGCTGGCATTCAGATGCCTCATTCTTGCTGCAAGTTTTCCTTTTCTTCTTTATAATCCACCTTTCCAATTCCTTTTTCACCTCTAAACTTTGCCAAATTGTATAGCAATTCAAGTTAGTGACTAAATCTACCTTATACTAATTACATTATTTAATTTACAACCAACTAATCATGAAATACAAACAATTAACATTTTTAATGTATCTTGAAATGTTACTTTTACAGGTTAATCAAATAATTCTTCTTTCTTGCTTGAATCTTCAATTATATGGTATTCTAGGCTAGGAAAATTTAATTATGCTATAATTAGAAGATTAATTAATTTAAATTATTTGCCTAAATGTTATATTAATCCAAATCATAAGTGTGAGACTTGTGTGGAATCAAAGTTGGCAAGAACATCTTTAAAAATAGTTGAAAGAAGTATTGAACCTCTTGAATTAATTCATAGTGATATTTGTGACTTAAAATTTGTGCAAACTAGAGGTGGTAAAAAGTATTTTATTAATTTTATTGACGATTATACAAGATATTGTTATGTTTACTTAATTAGAAGTAAAAATGAGGCAATTAATATGTTCTAGCATTATAAAAATGAAGTTGAGAATCAATTTAGTAGAAAAATGAAGGCATTGAGAAGTGATAAGGGAGGTGAATATGAATCTCCTTTCGTAGAATTTTGTTTAATACATGGAATCATTCACCAAACGACTGCCACTTATTCACCACAATCAAATGGTGTAGCTGACCGCAAAAATCGAACATAAAAAATGATGAATGCGATGCTATCAACTCTTGGTGTACCCTAAAACCTTTTTCTTTTAGGGATGGAGAGAAGCCTTACTATCTGCTAATTATATTCTTAATAAAATGTCTTATAAGAAAACAAATACGACACCTTATGACCTTCCTATAAATACTTAAAAGTGTAGGGGTGTCTAGCAAAAGTGACAATTTTTAAACCTAAAAAGGTTAAGATATGACCTAAAACCATTGATTTTGTATTCATTGGTTATGCTCAAAACAATAGCGCATATCAATTTCTTGTTCATAAATCTGAGATTTTTTACGTGCATATTAATGCAATTAATGAATCAAGAAGTACTTCATTATTTGAAAATAATTTTTCATTTAATATGTCATGATGATGCACAAAATGACTTTGTACACCATCTATCAAGTGTGAATAATAAATGCAGTAATTAAAGTAAGGAGATGGAGAGACACAAGAAATATATAGTTGTTCGGTCAACTCGACCTATGTCCACTCTTGAATGGCTATGGTCACTGGGTACTTTTTTAACTCAAGGGTGTAGGGAGCAGAGAGTACAAGCTTTGAGGAAGAGGAGAGAGTCGTGCTCAGATAAAGTGTGATGCCCCCCAAATATTAGTGGGGCGTGCAATTTGTAGTGGCCCCCTAATAGGTTGGGGTTATTTTACAGCAACTAAGCAACCATTTCGGTGGAGCTCACGACTTCTTCTCAACGGGCAAGGAGGTTGAGGTGCTCTCTATGAGATGCGGTCAAGGATAAGGTGAGGGTGAACTGTTTCCTTGGCGGTGCAAATGAGGCTCTAATGCTCTCTCTCTCTTGATGACGTAGCCAAACTGATGAGTTTGACTGGACTTGGACAATATTAGGCTTGATGGGTCTATATAAGACTGGGCTCTTCAATTAAGATTTGGGCTTTCCAAATAAATTGGAGAAGGAGACATTGACTCTTCACTTGTGTAATGCATTTTTGGCTTTGGTGCACACTTCAAGCATTTCCCACTTTTGCTAGGATTTTTAAGAGGGTCCATAATTTTCAATTTTGACTTTTCCCTCTTTAAAAACCCTAGACTATAAATATAACCTTCTTCTTCATTCTACCCATTTCATTCACCTTGAGATTAAACACCCATTCTTGAAAATCTTGAGAGCCCAAGTTCTACCCACTTCACCCACCTTGAGATTGAGCATTCATTCTTGAGGACTTTGAAAATCTAAGTCCTACCCACTTCATTGAAACTTGAGAGGGAAAAAAGTGTTCTTCTTGAATCCTTCTGAGAAGATTTATATACATACTCATTTGTATTTATATATATATATATAGATGGGATTTCTTCCTTTTGAGTGGAGTATTCAAGTGGGCAATGTCGATTAAAGAGGGANGTGTTCTTCTTGAATCCTTCTGAGAAGATTTATATACATACTCATTTGTATTTTTATATATATATATAGGTGGGATTTCTTCCTTTTGAGTGGAGTATTCAAGTGGGCAATGTCGATTAAAGAGGGAGTGGTGGAGATCAAAGGAAGAGAGGGGGTATGCGCTACTTTAGGCGCTGGTTTGGGCAAATTTTAGGAGTTTTCTTGCTTTAGGAGCAGTGCAGGGGGCTGCCCAGGTGCTGGAAGTGCTGTCCTGGACAGCTTGGGTGCTGAAGAAGTTGTCCTGGATAGCTTAGGCGCTAAAAATGTTGTCCTGGACAGATTGGACGCGCAAATAAGAGGGCTGGACAACTTGGGCGCGCAGAATAGAGAGTCGGACAGCTTGGGTGAGCAGATTAGAGTGCTGGATAGCTTTGGTATGCAAAATAGAGAGTTGGGCAGCTTGGCCGTGCATAACAGAATGCTGGATAGCTTGGACGCGCAGAGTAGAGGGCTGGACAGCCGCGTGCAGGCCAAAAATGAGGCTGCCCAGGCCATCAGGCGTGCATAGTGGGCAAGTAGGGGGGCTGGGGCAGCAGCCTGGGTGCAGGGGCAGGCCTGAACGCCACTTCAGGCACCGATTCAGGCGTCTTTGGAGCTGTTTTGTGCAACTTTGGAGCGTCAGGTAGCGCTAAGCTGTCTCGTTTGGGTGAGCAAAGGTGGTCAGGCACCTCTCCAGGTACTGGGCTATCTCGTTTGGGAGAGCGTAGAGCGTCAGGCACCCCCTAGGTGCTGGGCTAAACACTAGAGGCGACAAGGAAGCTTTGGGTGCCGCTTTTGGTGATCACAATTTGACTCCTCCAATTATTACTTCTCAAAGCCAAATCCCTCAAGACGATGGCTTGGGCCACTCCTTACGGCCTCGAAAGAAGAAGCGCAAAGGCAAAATAGAACTTGATGACGATGGGTCTAAGGTGAGTACCCTTTCTAGTTTGTTTAATTCCGATGAGGATATCTTGAGGCTTGTTTCTGCTTATCGTATTCCTCCAATTGTGCTGTGTCGCGGGGCTGAGAGGCGTGAGCTTGCTTGCGATGCCTCATCTGGTGATATT